CCTTGCACTCAACTAATTTCTACTTCAACCTAMAGAAAATATTTTATAAGAATTTCATACCCATGCCCATTGAAAACGAGTTGTGTTTCCTCCACTACTTTCCATATTCTCAGAGATCTATCACGTCCTCCTGTTGTTGCAGCCCTGTCTTTAGAGAGACTGTCAATACCTGTGATGCCATCTTGATGACCATATCTGGACAAAAAACAACCAAAAATGTTATTAATAATTGACATAATTCCAATCAAAATTAGTAAAAAAAATTAGTATAAAAAATAAAAATTTGTCTCATTATGCCTTTTAAYCATTCAAAGCATTATGACAATGGCTATTATCATGCACAAAAAGACCTGTCATTACAATTAATCATAGTTACCCTACATATTTGAATTTTCTCCTATTTACATGTAAGGCAAGGCCTGTATCTCCAAAAGACCTCTCCCCTCTCACCAGACTCTTTCACCTTAAATTGTGTGAGAGAGTCTATTGTTGAATGASACWGCAGCCASTTGGTTTTGGTCACACAGTGCAGTGCCTMTGCATCAMGGAAAAAAGGCTTGAAATGATTATGTGCATACTTACAATGTTTCTACATAAGCCATTTCATCCAAAGTCCATATTTTAACTGTTCTGTCAAGTGAACAACTGAAAAGTTGATGACTTCCTTTCCTGAATGCTAAGCCCTGATAAAAAAATACAAATTAAAAAGTTAATGATTAAATAATAATACATGTAATGCTATCAAATCAATGTAGTGAGAACTATGCTAGTTTCTGAATGCTTGGTCCACTGTGAAGTTCTTACAGTAGGCATAAGAACTTGAAAGTTATCAGGCAGCTACGGCACAGATCTAGTACTTACTGTTATTGTATTTCTGTGTCCTGTGAATGAGTGGATGGATTGTAGATTGTCAGGGTCCCAAATGTGTATAACTTTGTCTTTTCCTCCACTTGCCTTTTACAATTTATAGCAAATAATAAGATCCAATTAATAAGCAATTAAGGGAGACAAGATTACCCCCATGTTTTTTTCATTCATGCAGCTACACAAATGGATTTTTAAACTCTTTGCAGAGGAAACTTCACAAACAACATTAACATGCATTTGAGGTGACAGTACTGTACAGCAAAAAGACAAAATGGAGTACCCACCAGAAATTTGCTATCAGAAGTGATTGAGAGAGCAAGTACACAGCYTTTGGACTCTTTAGTCTCTTTAGAAGCAGCCACTTTCACTTCTTTCTTTCCACTGCTAACATTCCCTATTAGACATTATAATTCAACAATAAATTTTCCTCTGCTCTCAAAGGTGGTATGTCAACCACATGATGCGATAGTGCCTGCCGCAGAGGGCTTCTACATGTATTAGTTCATAGGGCCCACAGCTTCAGAAAATTTTGTTATTGAATAATAAAAACAATAGAGCAGTTGAAATCTAAGGCATTTTGCAGTGACAAATGCCCTTGGAAACTGGATGTTCCTCAAAACATCATTACTGTCCTCTAAGTGCATTATCGGATGACTTGTCTTTTRGAACATCAAGTTTCAACAAGCAACTATCACAGCAAACTGCCCTCAATTCAACTAGTCTATTTTTTCAATAGTAATAAAATAAATAACAAATAGCTATGATTTATTGATTTTTTTTATTTGTTTGATTCTATCCTTGATAGCTACAGCCAGTCAACATGAGACGGTTGTGAGATGACAGGTGATGTATGTCGTGAACAATACTCCAGTTTCGAATTCAAAGCGAATAACCGCTGTTGTATTTGACAGCAGATTCTCTTATGCAAAGAACTTACCAAACACAAAAGAAAGCACGAAAAAATGTTGCCTGTACAATAGCGCTTAAAATTTACATTTTCCCCGAGTTGAGGCTAACCCTGTATTCCCAGAAGGCTCATACCTTAGGTTTCATGGGAATAAAGGGTTAGTCTCAACTCGGGGAAAATGCAAATTTTCAAGTCTATTGTAATAACGACATTTTCTCGTGCTCTCTTTTGTGTTTGTAAGGTCTTTGAGCAAGAGAATCTGTTGTCAAACAAAGCAGCGGTTTTGCGCTATGAATTCGAAACTGGAGTATTAATGACAGACACTAGTTAATGAAATGGGGCCAAGTAATCACTATCTGACTTACATTTGATGATATGACAATCCTTGGATCCAGTATATACATATTTATCATCAGAAGAAACACAAAGACAAGTTACAGCCAACTGATGACCTCTTAGAACTTTCACAGATGACGACTCTGGTGCTGAGAACTAAAAAAAACAGTATTCATCAGTTTCTAGTAGAGCTGAATGCCATAGTCTTCTTCAGCTATTAATAATTACACTGCAAGTCTTTTTTAACTCGTGCACAATTAACTCTTTAGTGCAGTAATCTAATATGATAATTACATAATTTACATGTAATTGTATTTATTCAAAACAGTTATAATAAAGCCAAATCAGTGTTTCACAATAAAATACAGTAGAATGTATCAAGATAAAAGTTTCCATAACAACAAGAGCAATGTYAAAGCAAAATGATTATTCTTTTTTTTTACTCTAAAGACTTATGAATATTTAGACTTATCGCAACTGGCTACATCCATTTATGTTGTTGTCAAACTCCAATAACATAATGTCTACCTGCTGAGCAATCTGTCTTTGAAACCTTCCACTTTGTTCAAGCTAGAAATCATTATGATAATAATGAACATTAAATAAAATACAAAAACAATAAAACAAATAGTATGTACATGTACAGGATATTACAAGGTCACACGTCAATGCTTCTGAAGTATTTCTGAAGCAATTCATTTGACAACTTACAAGGTTTTGTTGTAATCTGTGAGCTATGGCATCATGGTCAATATCTTGGGACTCACTTTTTAGTATTTCTGTAACACAAAAACATTCAATCAAACATCGCAATCACTCACTGAATGGTATTTTAATGCCATTAAAAGATACATGTAACATGTTTACATATTATCATTATCATCATTTACTGTACATGCCAGGTACGTTACAGCCTTTTTTATCAGGGGGTTACTAGGGTGACAGAGATTCTGGAATTATGCGCGAAAAAAATCAAAATTATGCGGGATTATGCGCGAAATTATGCGCGATGACGTCATCGCTTAAAACCTAAAATATGACTAATTCGGATTAGGAAACTCAGTTATTTTGTTGGCGTTGTTTTGTTAAAAAATGATACTTTAGTAATTTGTATGACGATAAAAAAGGGAAAAAACAACACTCAAACCAGACGCAAGATAGATAACATATGTATTGATTTTTTGACAAATTATGCAGGATTATGCGGAGAATGGCCGATTATGCGGGTCCGCATCAGCGCATAATTCCAGAATCCCTGGGGTGAGTGTAGGGTTAACAGCCCTGTCTCATAAAAATCTTTATGTTACCAAAACCTACACCCAAATGTACAATAGTAGAAGACTAGTTATATCTTAGTACCTTCTTCTTTCAGCTGTTCTAAATATTGCTTGGTTAATCTGATCTTCTTTTCTTGTGCAGTTTCACTTMCATCACTTTCATAATCTTCTTCATTTTCAGAATGACTTCTGCACCAAGAAAAATTTATATTACAGATACTCTCAAACTATATACACACAAGCTACATATATTTAATTTGAAACCTTAGCTAATAAGCTACCATGCTTTGACAAGTAAATCTGCATCATACATTGTAAATTGGGCTAGACTGCTGAATCCAGGATCAATTTTGAAGACACTGTATCTGTCAAGATACCGGCTAGTTGTCTCGGCAGTCAAATAATAAAATTATATAAGTCCCACTGCAGAGGCGGCGTGCCACCAAGCCACCAAAGTATATTATATACAACACTTGATCATTTAAAAATGTACTTGATCATTCAAAATTGTACTTTTCAGATAAAGTCACCTTAGCGGTATACATCCCGCTTCTCAACCAATCAGAGTCGTTAAAAAACATAGGTATTTCGAGCTACGGGATGATAACGCGAATAAACCAATCAGAACACAGATTAGTAATTTGATCTCAGCCGGTACGGGATAGTAACGTGTATTAGCCAATTACCGTCTTAAAAACAGCTAGAAGTGATGACAGATCAAGAACACTTTTAGACTTCTCTTTTAGACGAATACTCCAACTTTATTTCGAAGTAATTTAGCTTAGAAAGGTTACTAAAATGGAGTTTTGTACTCAGTACTGTCGTCTTTTGATTTATCTATTTCAATAACGTTTTTAATTGCCAAGTTCAAATGTAAATGCTGGCCAATGCAGCTCTTATTCCATGTTCCATGTAGATTTAGTTTTAGATTTAGTTTGGTCTAGTAGCGCGGTTAAAGCMAATCAGATGTGAAACTTTGAAACCCGAATATTCGTTTCGTGCAATTAATGCCGTATTTCGGTGATATACAGTTGAGCCAAATCAACATTGACCTGTGGAATAGTAACGAGACTCAACCAATGGTATTTGGGATCAGTAATCAGTACGGAATAGTAACGCGGTTAAGCCAATCACAGATTTGATCATAGCAGAAGCGATGACAGATAAAGAACGTCGTGCTTGTTCATCCGTAAAACAAGGGATGTCTCCTTTTACACTCATATTATCCAGTCCGTAGAAACGGAGYTCACGTTAAGTTACGATAAATAAGGGTTMTAAACATTCCATACCGTATCATCTAGCCGTTTTGTAGAAGTAGAAATTTTATACGGTATCAATTTAAACTGAAGCGGTGACTTCATGTGCATGACATCGATCAATGAAATAATCAAGATGTAGATCGTTGTAGACCGTTTTCGGGAACCAAAGGGTTTTGTCGTAGTTTCTTTACTGTCAAGTATCGATCTTTTTAAATTCGCGACATGACACTCACAAATGCTACCATTTTATATTTGCGGGATGATAACGTGACTGAACCAATCATATCATAGATCGGTAATTTGCACGGGATAGTAACGCGGTTTGGCCAATCACAGCTTTGATCATGCGATAAGCAATGACAGATAATGGGCGATTGACACTGATGAGTCTACTTTTGCACGCATTATCCGGTCCGTAGTAACGATTTCAAGTTTAAGTTACGAACGATCAAAAATGGCTCTAAACATTTCATAACGTTTCATCAAGGCGTTTCGTAGGAGTAAATAAAAAATATATTTTCTTACTTAAGCCTTAAAAAAAGATTCGGATGTTGAAATTACTTCGTAACCATCTTGGCTTTTTCTTTCATTGATAAAGTAATCGAAATGTAGATCGTTGAAATCATGTCGCAGCCGCTTTCGGGAACAAAAGGGTTTTGTCGTAGGTTTTATACTGTCAAGTATCATAACTCTCACAATCGCTACAATTTCATATTTGCGGGATGATAACGTGACTGAACCAATCACATCATAGATCGGTAAGTTGCACGGGATAGTAACGCGGTTTGGCCAATCACAGCTTTGATCATGCAACGAGCAATGACAGATAAAGGCGATTGACWTCATGAGACGACSGGACCAACAATGCGCTGGTTCAGCCGTAAAACAAGAGTCTACTTTTACACGCATTATCCGGTCCGTAGTAACGAGTTCAAGTCATAAATTTACGAACGATCAAAAATGGCCCTAAACATTTCGTAACATTTCATCAAGGCTTTTCGTAGAAGTACAAAAATATTTTCTTACTTCGGCCTTACTAAAAAAGTGATTCGGATGTTAAAAGTACTTCGTATGACTTTTTCTTTGATTGATGAAGTAATCGAGATGTAGACCGTAGAAGTTGCTTGATGT